TGAGAGGTTAAGTGTAAGACCATTGAGGGTAATACCTGATGGGCTAATCTTGCATCTGCCCACAGTCCTTGGGTTTTCATAAGGTGACTAGACCCAATGACCATTTAGTGTAAATGTTGGGCCCGTTAAGAGCCAATGGTGATGGATTCAGAGGTTCACTCTCTCCTACAGTGAATTCGGTCAGGCCTTGTAACAGAGGTTGGGCTGAACCCATGTGGCTGATGTGTAGATCAACGTTTGGGTCTCACGCCATACAAGGATAGCCAACTGAGCAGAAGATTAAGAGGGCTAGTGAGCACATAGACTTAATCGGCCTAAAGCCCAATTCGAACTGGCTTAATAAGATTAATTAAATGAGGGTGGTTCTGGGATTTGGATCAGCAGATAGGATAAGGGATTATCCCTATCCACTTAAAGAGTCCAGATCCAAATAAAGATTTGGATCAGGAAACTCCTAATTAGATTAGGAGGGCTGATCTTTATCTGAAGATAAGATAAGGGATTATCCTTATCTCTTAAAGAGAGTCCAGATCCAAATGCAAGATTTGGATTAGGAAACTCCTAAAGGGATTAGGAGAACCTCTCTTTAAGGCTATAAATAGGAGAGCAGGGTGAACCCTCAGAGAACAACAGAAATCATCTGACTGACTGCTTAATTCCAGAGAGAGACAACACAGTTTGACTGCACTGTCTCCTTCTCTCCTGCTCTTGCCGCCATACCAGTTCGATCTCCACCTGTGGGAGCGGTCAAGAAGAGTTCTTGATATTACCTTATGGCAGAAAAGGTAATCTGAAGTCGTGCTCACTAGCCCTCCATCAGATTCTTGCTGACGAATTCGGTTCTTGCTGAAGAGCCATCCTGCTGATTCTGCTTCATCCTGCACCGTGTCATCTTCGGTGGAAGCAGTCTTTGGATCTTTCCTTGGGCGTGAGCACCTTCATTGGAGGTTATTACTACTTCGTATCAGGTATATCCTTCCACTCCCTTTTGGTGAAAGATTTTCAACGCATAATATTTACTCAATTCCAAACTGAGATTCATATTTTCTAGTCGGACAACGCAAAGGAGTACTTCCACAGTGATCTCACGGAGTTCTTTGCTTTGTGTGGATCTCTTCATCAAAGCTCTTGTGCTAGGACACCCCAGCAAAACAATGTCGTTGAAAGGAAAAATTGTCATCTTCTCTTAGTAGCTCATGGTTTATTACTCCATATGAATGTTCCGAAATGTTTTTGGATGGATGCTATTTGTGCTGCATATATCATCAATCGTATGCCATCTCAGTTACTAAAGAATAAGCCCCACATCAACTTTTGTTTCCTACAGCTCCTCTGTCCCCTATTCCAATGTGTGTCTTTGGGTGTTGTTGGTTTGTTCATGACTTGTCCCCTACTCACGGTAAGCTCGATCCTCGTGTCACTCCTTGTGTTTTACTTGGCTACCCTTTTATCTCAAAAGGGTTACCGTTGCTATGACCCTGCCTCATGCAAGTACTCTCCATTGACGTATCCTTCTTTGAGAGTCAACCTTTTTTCTCGGTTTCTCCTCAGGGGAAGAGTAGGGTTGAGGAGGAGAAACACACCCAGACTCAGACTCAATTACCTCCTCTTTCTGATCCTCCTCCATTTCATGTATTTCTTCACCGCCAAAAGAGCCAACAGAGTTCAAGAGCCGTGGAACCTGAAACTATGCAACCAACATCTTCAAACTCTCTAGAGGCAAATCCTCCTCATCAGCCAGGTACACTTGTTCCCATTGATACGCCTGAACCTCTTGATATTGATCCCCATGTTATTAGTGATCTTGATGTTCCTATTTCTAAAAGAAAGGGTGTTTGATTTTGTACTACTAATCATCCTATCTCTCACTTTGTGTCCTATGATCATATTTCACCTTCATATCGTATGTTCCTTTCCTCCGCTGACAGTGTTTCTGTTCCTAAGAATGTGGCAGAAGCTTTATCCAAACCTAAATAGACAGATACAATGAAGGAATAAATTAATGCCTTGCACAAAAATGCAACTTGGGAGTTGGTGGATCTTCCTAAAGGAAAGGAGCCAGTGGGATGCAATTGCAAGTGGGTGTTCACAATGAAGCATAGGGCTGATGGTATAGTAGAAAGGTACAAAGCCAGATTGGTGGCCAAAGGGTTTATATAGGTAATATGGGGTAGACTATGCAGAGACCTTTGCTCTATTAGCCAAGATGATTCTATTGGAATCCTCCTTTCAGTGGCAGTTAATCTTGAATAGGAACTTCACCAGTTCGATATTAAAAATGCATTCTTGAATGGTAACCTAGAGGAGGTGTACATGACTCAACCTCCAGGTTTTTGCGCCAAAGGTGGTGAGAAGAAGGTGTGCAGGTTAAAAAAAATCATTATATGGGTTGAAACAATCTCCTCGGGCCTGGTTTAGTAAGTTTCACTTAGTTGTACAGCAGATGGGGTTCAAACAATGGCAAGCAGATTATACTCTACTTGTGAAGAAAGATAAAGGGAAAATTGCAGCTTTAATTGTGTATGTTGATGACATAATGATCACAAGAGACTGGAAGACTGGAAGACTGAAATACAGAAGCTGAAGAAATTATTAGCCACTCAATTCTAGGTGAAAGATCTAGGCCCCTTGCGTTATTTCCTTGGGATTGAAGTCGCCTACTCTCAAAAGGGCATCTTTATTTCCCAAAGAAAATATGTACTAGATCTATTAGAGGATGCAGGCAAGTTAGGGGTGAAGCCAATTGATTCACCCATTGAACCTAACCACCAATTGGGAGACAGTCAAGGAGAGTTTTTAAAATATGTGAAGAAGTTCCAGAGACTTGTAGGGAGACTCTTATATTTGTCTATAACCAGGCCTGATATTGCCTATGCAGTGGGTGTCTTTAGTCAGTTCATGTATAATCCTAAGACAAATCACTTTGAAGCTACATAAAGGATCCTTAGATACCTCAAGAAGTTCCCAGGGCTGGTTTGTTATTCCAGAAACATAGGCATTTGAAGGTTGAAGTGTATACAGATGCTGATTGGGCAAGGCAGTCGATAACAAAAAGTCTACCAGTGGGTATTGTACCTTTGTGGGAGGAAACTTAGTCACCTGGAGAAACAAGAAGCTAAGTGTGGTGGCTAGGTCCAGTGCTGAAGCAGAATATAGAGCTACTATGTGTCACGGAGTTGCTAAAATTATATGGATAAAAAACATGTTAAGTGAACTGGGTTTTGCAATTAACAAACCTATGTCACTCTATTGTGACAATAAAGTTGCTATCAACATTGTTGGTAACCCAGTCCTCCGTGATGGAACAAAACATATTAAAGTGGACAAGCATTTTATTAGGGAAAAACTTGTGAGTGGAGAGGTGTGCACTCCATATGTCAGTTCGGAAAAACAACTTGCAAACATCTTCACCAAGAGCCTTCATTATGTACAGCATAATAATTTGTGTGACAAGTTGGGCATGATTGACATCTATGTCCCAACTTGAGGGGGAGTGTTGAAATGTTTACTTCACATTTTATGTTTTTATTCTGCTTAGTTAGGGTCCGTTTGGTCTGGTTAAAATAGCTTTTTTATCATTGTTTATGTACTTTGACTACAGCAGGGGTATAAGGGTTTTTTCCCTTTTAATTATGGTCGCCCTATATTTAATAATATAAGCTGGCGCCGCCATACTGATTTTGAACTCTCCAAACCTTTCTCTTCTCTTCTCTTCTCTTCTCTTCTCTTCTTCCTTATTTCTCCTCTTTTCTTCTGCTAATAGAAGGGAAGTGAGAAGGGGTCGAAAAAAAAAGCTAATGGATATCATCTCACACACACAACCACACATGACATGCAATTTGAAGTAACAATATGAAAACATAACTTTAAACTATTTGCTTACCCATTAATCAGGCAATCAAGTAAAAGTTGATAGATATCATATTCAATAACAAGCCGTGAAGCAATGCTAGTGCTTTTGTCAGCATTCTCTAAAAGAAAAGAAACCTGCGAATTCGTAACAAGAAATGTTTTAAAAGCCTTTTTATACTGTGAAGCAGGAGTGAAATATTAAGTTCATTCATCAGAAGCAATATAATTTAGCAACTAATGTAAATTTCAGGACAAGGCACAAGATTGACTAGTGAGTACAAGACCTTCAGTAACCAATTAATGTATTAGTTTAGTCTCAGCAAACAAGGATAACATGTAATTTAGATTTTAGATATTAAATAGTAAGAATAAAACAAAAGACAATAATGAATGTATGTAGTTGGAATAAATTATTATATCAACATTTACAACAGAAATCAGTTAAGCAAAAAATGATTGTTCAAATTGAAATCATTTACAGTCCCGTAACATAATGGTAGATACATCAACAAGGAAAATCAAAGAGTTTTGGTAAAGGATGAGGAAATCAAAGGAAAGATGAAGAAGCCATTCTAAAAAAAAATTACTAAATGAGGAACATATAAAGGGCACTGGCACGGAACGATTAGTAACTCTAAATCTCTAATATACCTAAAAATAATGAATAATTTTGTAAAGTTAAGAGTTTCCAAAGTAAAAGAGGCTTTAGATAAGATGAAGGGAAAAGCATTGGGACCTAATGTATACCATATAACTCTATAAAGATATGGAAAAGATAGGCCTATTATGGCTAATTAAACTATTTAATAAGATAATTAAAACAAAGAAAAATGTAAAGAATGAGAATTGTTGAAACTAGCATATTGGAAGATCAGTTCGCCAAAATAACCATGGGTGGTTACAATATTATAAGTTTCTTTCCCTAAACTGAATCCATAACCTTCATTAACAAAATAATTTTCGGTGGTTTCCCTGATTAAAATAGAAGTTACCGAGGAACAATGCATAGCACCAAACAGAGAACCATAGAATATACCAGCTACACCTAACATGTGAAATGGGTGCATAAGGATGTTGTCCTAAGCCTAGAATACAATCATGAAGTTGAAAGTACTAAGATCCCTAAAGGCATACCATCAGAGAAGCTTCCTTGACCAATTGGATAGATCAAGAAGACAGTAGTAGCATCTACCACAAGACCTTAATATGCAACAGAAATCCAAGGATGCATACCCAGACGAAAACTAAGTAGGCCTATCTTTTTCATGGTGCCTACATTTAGAAATAAATGAAACTTCGGGAGAATAATTGAGTAGATTTTTACACATGAAGCTAGGTGTCGGGGAGTCCAAGTTGAAGAATTTCAACTGCATTGGGCTCAGGTCTTGGCTCAGGCTCATTCAAAATATGAAAATGCTCAACCCAACAGTCCCAACCCAACCCAAGTTGCACCCTTACATGAAACAAGTACATCAGAAAACCAATTTGGTTTATGCTAGGGAGATCAACAATGGAAAACATCTTTATATTGAAATGATTGATAGAATATTTTCAGGAGAAAAAGAGAGATCTTCATAAGCTGTTCATTGATCTAGAGAAAGCATATGATAGAGTTCCTAGAAAGAAGGACATGTATAAGAGGGGGTACCAGATAGGCATGTGGATCAAATAAAGGACATGTATGGTGGTGAAAATGTTAGAACACCAATAAGAGAGACATTAAGTGTTTCTAATTTTTTTTGATGAATGACAATAAATTTATTAATTCAGAAGCAGATTTAGAGTGAGTTCATACAACATCCCAGGGAGAGGCGCGAGCTGCAGCCCCTCCTTGAATCTTACAAGTAAAYTAGGAAAGAAAARCAAGAATCAYAACTGAGCCCAAAACAATTCTTCCCTATTTACCCCTTGCTTAGCTAACACATCTGACAAAGTATTTCTAATTAGCCCTATTTACCCCAAAACATTAAGTGTTTCTAATTACAATGGGACTTCACAAAGCTCAATGCTTAGCCCTTATTTGTTTGCTCTAATCATGGATGAATTAACGAAACATATTCAGGAAGAGGTTCCATGCCTAGGAGGCTTACACTTCTTGCATTCCAGTTTATAACTCAGGCCTTAGAATAGTAGAATGCCTTGCATCATGCCTCCACAATTTAAAACATTTGTAGGGACAAGGCTTAGTTAAGCTAACAGCATGAAGGTGTTGTTGAAGTGTGTGATCCTAAATTATAAATTTACATCAAACAAGGCATAGGTTTCATAAGCAAACCCATACTTGGAATAAAGAGAAATGTTATCAATAGTTCATAAAGCATAAAGCATTCTAACAAGATGATCAGGAGAATACTCCCATAATAAAGATTTTGAACGATAAGGAAATCTCATATGAGATATAAAGAAGGAAATTCTTTTGAAACTCAAAAATAATCATTCCTATTCTATATACTATGGGAAAACTGTATTTTTACATTTTTCTTTGAGAAAAAATAAATGCAAAAACATATTATTCACAGAAACAGTTGTAACATGTCATACAACTACTGTTAAGAGCCACTTGTTGCTTGTCAAAATAAAAAATCACGTGTAGCTTTAGTTCACTAAATCCTAGTGGTAGTCAATAATGACTGTAAAATCCCTATTCGATTCTAGGTTAAAGTAAAGAAGAAGAAGAAGAAGAAGAAGAAGAAGAAGAAGAAGAAGAAGAGAAGAAGGGTTTGGCCAGATGAGGGAAATCTATCCTCTCTAGTCGACCCACTTGTATCTATCTCAAAATAAGTTTGGTTATAAGAAAGACTATATTGCCCCTCAGAAGTGATGGGGCACACAACTTAGACCTGAATAAAACAGACCTTTCACTCTCACACAGATACACCCAAATGACCAAAATACCCCTATTCTGTGAACTCTAGCACTCCCTCTCAACTTGGAGAGTATATGTCATATAGTCCCAGCTTGCCACAAATATAATCTACTCTGCCTCAAGACAATCCCTTTGTAAAGAGATCTGCCCATTGATTTCCCGAGCTCAAATGAGATGTGGTTATCACTCCACTAGTCACTTTGTCTCTTACAAAGTGACAATCAACCTCAATATGCTTGGTTCTCTCATGGAAGATTGGATTGGAAGAGATGTGAACAGCTGCTTGGTTATCACAGTATAGTCTCATAGGTTTGTCAACTGAGAACCCCATCTCTTGTACTAAGTTCTTCAACCATACCAGTTCACATGTGGTATGAGCCATAGCTCTATACTCAACTTCTTCACTACTCCTTGCCACCACTATTTGTTTCTTGCTCTTCCAAGTTACAAGATTGCCACCAAGGAAGGTACAATACCCTGTAGTTGATCTCCTGTCTGATACAGAACCAGCCCAATCAGCATCTATATACCCTACTATCTCAAGGGGCCCTCCACTTTTATATAGCAAACCACGGCCTGGAGCACCCTTCAGGTACCTAACAATCCTTAGAACTGCTTCCCAATGAGGAATCCGAGAATGTTGCATAAATTGACTCACCATACTCACAGCAAATGATATATCTGGTCGGGTAATAGTCAGATAATTCAACTTTCCCACCAACCTCTTGTATCTTCTAGGATCATCAAACTTCTCACCTGCATCAAACTCAACTTGACATTCAGTTTCATAGGAGTTTCTGGTGGTTTAGCACCTAACAACCCTATTTCTTCAAGTAGGTCAAGAACATATTTTCTTTGACATAATTCCATGTCTTGACCTTACAACTTCTATTCCCAGGAAGTACTTCAGCTTACCCAAATTTTTCGTATTGAAGTGGTCTTGTAGAAATTTCTTCAACCTGTCAATCCCATTACAGTCACTCCCAGTTAGGACAATATCATCCACATACACCACTAGCAAGATTTTCCCATCTTTTGAGTCATGGCTAAACACAGATTGGTCTACCTAACACCGTTTCATCCCAAAGTTATTCACTACTTCACTGAACCTGCCAAACCATGCTCATGAAGATTGTTTCAGTCCATAAATTGCCTTTTTTTAGTCTACAAATCTTACCATCCTCCCCCTGAGCAACAAACCCTGGTGGTTGCTCCATATGCACCTCCTTAATGAGATCACCATGTAGGAAGGCATTTTTAATGTCTAGTTGCAAAAGAGGCCAATCATACATAGCAGCTAAKGAAATTAGCACCCGAACTGAACCAATTTTAGCCACAGGAGAAAATGTCTCCATATAGTCCGCACCATACAACTGAGAATAGCCCTTGGCCACTAACCTGGGAGATACTTCACTGTGTAGACCCACTTACACCCAACAACATGCTTACCAGGAGGAAGAGCAGTGAGTTCCCACGTGTGTTTGTGTTATAGAGCAGATAGTTCCACTTCCATTGCTTGCCGCCACCCTGGGGAGGTAAGGGCTTCTTGGACAGTCTAGGGAATGGAAACAGATGATAGCAATGATATAAAGTTGCGATGAGAAGCAGAAAGGTGAGCAACGAAAACGTAGTGTGAAATAGGATGAGAAGTACAAGTGTGTTTACCTTTCCGCATGGCAATAGGAAGATCAAGGTCCGAGGGAGAAGAAGAACCATAGGATCTGTCGATGAGGGCTGGATTGGGGGAGGGGCCGGTGCGCTTCTGTGAGTATACACTTGTCTGATTGGTGGCCTCTCAATAGTAACTGGCACGGGAGGAGGAACTACAGGGGGAACTACAACTAGAATGGGGACCACGAGAAGAGGATCCTCAACAGGGACAAGAAGAGGAACTACAGGGGAAGGAGAAGGAACCACAGTGTCCGAAAAGAAAGGAACTGATTCAAAGAAGGTGACATCGGAGCACACAAATGACTTATGGGGGTTAGGGTTTTAGCACTTATACACATTCTGAGTCTTGGAGTAACCAAGGAAGATACACTTAGTAGCTCGTGCATCTAACTTGTCTAAACCAAGACCCAAATTTTGAACAAAACAAACACACCCAAAGACTCTCGGGGTAAGAGGAAACGGGGACAAGGTGGGAAACAACAAGGGGGATTGACTTCCAAGGATGGACATGGGCATCCGATTGATGAGAAAACATGATGTGAGGACAGCATCACTCCAAAAACGCTTTGGAACATTCATATTAAGCATCATAGACCAA